CCCCCCCCCCCCCCCCCTCGCTCTCCGCTCCTCCTTCATCGGGTGGATCGTCACGTTCGTTCGTTCGTTCGTTCGTTCGTTCGTTTCAGAGCAACTCAGGGGGAAGAAATCTTGTCACAGCGGATACAAAGGAGATTTCGCCGGATGGACAGCACCGGTATACGTGTTGAAAGAGAAAGGTCTGATAAAGTCCGAAGAGGATCTGGCCGATTTCTTCGGGGGATCCTGCGCTCCCGGTGCACCGCTCGATTCGAAGCTGTGCCAGCAATGCGTCGGAAGCCTCGCTTCGAACGACGATCGAATTCGAAGCGCGACCAAGTGTAAGCCGGACGAAGCCGAAGCGTACAGCGGCGGAGAAGGAGCTCTCGCGTAAGCATTCGATCGAAAAACCGCGTCGAACCGCATGACAGACGAGGAGACGGTTCTTTTCTTTTCCTGTTAGTTGCCTGTTGGCTGGCCAAGGAGAGGTCGCATTCTTGCCGCTGCCCGCGTTATCCGGCCCGTTGGACCAAGCCAAGAAGAAGGAGCTCTCGTTACTCTGTCCAGACGGCACTCTTGCCGACTTGGACCAGTGGCGGCGATGTAACCTGGGTATGGAACCGCCGAGAGTTGTCGTAAGCTCGGCTGGTAAATCCGTGAACGCCTTGGAGGAACTGACTCATGGTACTCTGGCCGCCAGTACTCTGTACGCCAAACGGCCCGATCTCCTACACCTGTTTGGCACTTGGGCCGGTCGAAGCAACGTCTTGTTCAGGGTAAAGTCCGCGATGTCCCTTCGTTCTATTCTAACACCGTTCGTTAATATTCTCTTTCCTCCTCTAATTCAGGACGACGCGAAGGGTCTGACGTCGGTGAATGACACGTGGGACCAATGGAACAACTGGCAGCAGACGCAACGCGCATACGGTACCGCTTGAAGCGTCGTAGCAGCAGACGTACATATGTAGATGATATATTATACATACATATAGACGATATACATAGCCTCGACGCTTTTATTCAAAATATGCTTGCTTTCAACCTCGCTACCAGCGAAAATAATTGTGAATAAAACGAGTGAAAACTGCTCGAACCGTCGTTTCCTCGTAATGGATCCTTTCCTACGGATCGTAGAACGTCTCCGTGGGGGACACTCTACCGGCCCGCTCCAACAACGACTCCGATATCCGACTGTACCTGCTGCGACTGTATTTCTTATACACCACGTCGAAACCGTGGTGTTTCTTCCCGGAACTCAACAAGCGACGCAACATCCTGATCCTGGTCTGATCGATCTCCTTGTCCTGAAACCTGTCGATTCTCGCGTAACAAGTTATAGAATAGGAAGGAAGAGGAAAAGAATTGTTTGCAAACACTGGCCAACCTGTCGGGCATGTGGGGAGTTGCGGCAAAGAGCAAACCTCTCCAAAACAACCATCGTGGTCTCGCGTGAACGGCAGGTGCGACGTCTAGAACGAGACCGAAAGCTAGCTCTGCTGCTGTTACAGCGATCAGGCTTGCGGCCGTTCGGCAGAACTGCTCGTCCAGCAGTGTCAGGTCGATCTGAAAAAGGACCGGGTTCACTCCTCTGGAGAAGAGAAGACTTAGAGACTCGTACCAGATAGCAGCCGGTGTTGTAGAGAAAGGCGGTCGTCTCGTCGGATATGTCCACGAAACGTATGCAATTGATCAGATGATACGTGAACAGGCTGAACGCGTCAGCGAACGACACGTTAAAATTCAGAACCTGTAGGATTTTCCTCTCGTATTCTATCAGCAAATCTTCTCTTCCCGCGTACAGTCCCTTCGCGAGAGCTACCATAGACGTAGCCTGGAAAGTAGCGATGAAATGCACACACCGAACCGGAGCAAAGACGAACCTTCCTTTCGCTTACCGTTGGAATCTTGTGAAAATTCTCTTGCTTCTTCAGCGCGATCCACAGACTGGCCAACGCGCATAATTGAATGAACGCGGTGTCCACGCGTATCGTATCCATAACCAAATCGAACAGCTTCACCGACTGGTACACGATGTACGACGGATATCTGCAATGCGTCTGCGGAAACATCGGCAAATCAGTTTTCTCGTCACTTCTCGCCGCAAATTCGATCGAATTTCCCTACTCACTCCCAAATGTATCATAAAGATGACCACCAGCCTCCTCTGTTCGGCGTTTATGTGACATTCCGTCAAGAAATTCTTCGATAACGCCGGAGATTTCTTTTCCCTCTCGCGTTCGACGATTACCAGCTGGTCGATATATTCGGTGTGATATTGCAACGCGGCAGGAAAGTGATCTCGATCTTTGGCACCTCTGTCGATCTCGGCTACCTTCGGCTTGTCCTGACGAATCGCCGCCTTAACAAAACTCGCGAAAGTCAGTATCTTTGAAACGAGACGAAACCTTGGGTCGTCGCCTACCTTGACAGGAATGGAGGGTTCCGGTGGCGCCCCCCCGTCGACGGGCGTCGTCGTGCTCTTGGCTCTTCGCTGCTTCCTCCCTTCCACTGCTGGGACCTCCGCCGAGGCTAAACGTCGTCGCGCTGCGATTCCACACTGATTCCCCACCGATGGAACTGAACTCGACCTGTAACAACACAACGACAACGTCCATTTCGTCCATCTTCAAAACGGCAGCAGGCGATTCGTGAACCTTACCTCGAGCGTCGCGGTATCTTGGAGGGTGGCAGAGGCTTCTTACCGTCCTGCGGCTTCACGGTCGCCCATCTTTTCCGCGACGTTTTTACGCTTGTTTCTTTAGCATCGTCTCTCCTACCCAACCCATCCCGCGCGTCCTGCCTCGGCGACACATTTCGTTCGTCGCAGTGAACGTGAAACGGAGTTTTTTTACCGGAATACGTCTGACCGATCGCACGACTACCACCGGCGTTCGCGACTCCCGTTTCCTTTCTTCGCTGGCCGATCGCTCTCAGAGAGACTCGCGTTTGACACGCTGTTCCAGCGCCCGCGAACGACACTTTTCTACCACTTACTGCGCTCAAGGGAGGACACGCGTTCTCCTTTCCGCTGGACAACGAGCTCCTGGCTGTAGCGGAGGGTGCGTTTCGCGTCGGATGAGCCATCGTTGGTAATCTTTCCACTTTCCTCCGATTCTCCAGCTCGGCGTGCCACGAACGTTAAACGGAAACGGAAACGCGCACGAGAAACGAAGCCGCTCGCTCGTCGTACGTCCGGACGTCCGGACGTTTTAAACCGCGCGTTTGTTTACGATCGAGAAGAAGAACGTTCGGGAAGAAGGAACGGTTCGTGCTCGATCCGACAGAGGCGCTTGGCTAGTTGGACGCTGTTGGTCGCGTAGCGCCCCGATGTCGCGAAACGAATCGTTCAAACAGCAACACCAGACAGGTGAGAAGGAAAGCGGAGAGGAGGAACAGAAGCAGAGGCATCGCGTCTTCTAGTTCCACCGAGGTCCAGCCGGTCTTGGACTGTGTACGTAATAACACGCGCATAAGCAGTTACGTACATACATAGATGCGAAAAAGCTTACCCGATGGTGCGCGCTGCTGGACCACTCTGCTTGCATCAGTCGCTGAAGAATTCCGCTGTCTCTCAGCAGAAGAATGCTGAAAGAAAGAAGGAAGAAGAGAAAGAAGGAAGAGGCGAAGAGGGTGGAAGAACTCACTTGGCGTCGATAATTCCGCGGTAAGGACTATCGGCCGGCACCGCCATGGCTATCGTGGCCTGCGTCAAAACGTCGAGGGGCTCGAGGGCGCACTCGAGCTTGCCCTGCAGCACCGAGGCCATGTTGTCCAGAGTCATGAACGCGTACTTATTCTCGCGGCAAACTCGTCTCAAACCGTCCAGATAATTCGCCGGCAAATCAACCTCGTTCGTCAACAACTCCTCGAACATGGCGGTGAGCACGCGGTCGCTGGTGTTCTGCAAAACAAGGAGGAAGAAGAAGAAGAAGAAGAAGAAGAAGAAGAAGAAGAAGAAGAAGAAGAAGAAGAAGAAGAAGAAGAAGAAGAAGAAGAAGAAGAAGAAGAAGAAGAAGAAGAAGAAGAAGAAGAAGAAGAGAAAGAAGAGGAAGAAAGTTACCTGGAAGACGCTGTAATCTGCCGACTCGTGGACCACCGCGAATCGATAGGTGCCATCCTCCAGCAGGCCCTCCATCGTGGTGAACGGCATGACGAACGTTTTAACGGCCAAGTAGCTGATCAACGCGGCGGAGTAAGCGGCAAGCACGACAACGGCGGTCAAGTGAACGCTCAGATGCACCAGCCTTATCGGATCGAACGGTGACGGTTCCATGCCCTGTCCACAAAACGCACCGTACACGAACAACACGATCTCGGAGAATCTGTGGGAGAACGGAGATTCGGTGGAGAACGCGTCGATTCCGGCGATGGAGAGGGCCGCGAGTACGATCGTCAATGCGACAGCGTTCCAAATGTTGACGGCGAACGGTGCAAAGTACGCGTTCCACTTCACCGCTGTCGAATCCGGTCTCTTGATGTAGACGCGAGATCTGAACAGGCGAGAACGAAAGATCGAAGAGCGGACGGAGGAGAAGGAAAAGGCGGAGATGTTTCGAAGGTTACTTGGTGGAGTAAACGGGTGTGGTGAATTTCACGGCCTCCAGCCTGTCGGAAGTCATCGTCAGCTCGGTAGCAGCGAGATCCGCCTCGTCCTCCACCAGCATTCTAATCGAACCCGTCCAAGTGCCGTTCGGTAACTGCACGCCCCACGAGCTAGCCACCTTGTAGGAGAACCTGAAACCGCGAGAGCCGAGAAGTTATCGGCGAATCCTCGAGTGTCATCTGTTCGGATCGTTTCTCCTAGCAGCAGCGGAAGGAGAGGAGCATGCTGCGAGAGTTCGCTTCGCGATGCCTGGAGCCAGTTAGTCACAGAGGGAGATCCTCGCCGTACGTAGAGTCGCGACGAATCGTCCAGGTACTGGACAAATAGCTGATTCGTGTACATATGTATGTAGCTACAGAGCGATCTGGCGACGCTCGTTCGCCGCGAAGCGTCGCAGGGGCGGCGACGGTCGAAGGAAGGAATGGTTCGAGGAAAGATCGGCCGCCAGCCAGGAGGAATACTTCCGACGGGAAACGGCCAGGCAGCTGCAAGATATTCGCGAGCGAGGTCTGAAGAGGAAGGCCGAGGAGAAGCAAGAAACCGGCAGGAAGAAGAAAACTAGAAAGCCGAACGATCCGAACGAGAGGAGCGACGCGTAAATCCTCCCTCACGTGCAGTTCATTCCCTGTTGCAGCAGTTGAATCACCTCGCCGAAGAAACCACCGATACCGTCGCGGAGGATCCGCGAAACCGGAGGATCCTACGAATCGTGCATATATGTACGTACACGCGTACGGAATGCGTTCCAAGGCATGCGCGAAAACTCACGTGAATCGAGACCACTCTTATATCGCGACCCTGCAGATCGTGTCTCCGCTGATACAGTCCAAGTCGGGGCGCCCGAAATCCCCCTGCCTGATCCCACGCGGCAAACTTCATCGATCTCAACACGTCTCCTCTCGCGATGCGATACACGTCCTGCACGATCTCGACGTTTCCCTCGGTGTCCCTCTGAGCTACCATCAGCATGCAGTCAAAGGGCACGTGGACGTTCGACAGAAACTCCTCCAAGTTGGTGCCGTCTCTCAGAAACAGCAGCCACGTCGGATAAGCCATCGCGATCCATTCGGAAACCTATTTCGTTTCGTTTCGTTTCACTTCGATTACCTCTACCCCATCCCATTCCTACTCACCTCGACGAATTGCTCCCTGATCTCGTCCAGGTCGTTCAGCAACACGAACAACGGCCTTTTGATGTGGCGATAGGTTTTCTCCACCTGAAAACGGGACGGTTCGATCGAATTTTTTCACTAAGAAGAACGATCGTTTCGTGGACCTACTCGGCTCTTGAACATGCGAAAATCCATGATCGCGGTTCGAACGTTCAACGAACCGCTGAGGTACCTCTGAAGTGACAGCAGTCCTTCCGTCTCCTCGATTCCTGAAAGAACGAAAGAACTCCTCGAGAATTGGATGGGTGGACCATGGACTACCATGTGCGAGCATTGTTTCTGCACCGACCTTTCGTTTCGACGACATTCGACGAGCCGTGAAAGAGTATTATGCAGGTATTGTTGAAGTAATCGTGGACTCCTTTGATCAAGCTCTGGTAAACGTAGATCGGTCTGATCAGAAAGGGTTCCGCCAGACTCGAGGCGCATCGCGAAACGCAAAGCAGGAAAAGCATTGCGCGCAATTCCCATCGAGACATGCTGCCTTGCCACGCGAACGTCACGCGAACGTCACGCGAACGTCGCGCTTACTACTGATTCCCCGTGCCTTTTACCAGACTCGATTACACGCACACGTACACGTCCCGTTGCTTTTCCGAGAATCGGCCAAATTCAGTCGTGATTCGCGCGAAATTACAGGAAATAACGCGACGAATAAGCGATCGAGTCGCGGATTATCCTCCAACGCGATAGTTGCCTAGAGAAAGCACAACAGAGTTACGAGGGAATCGATCGCGATGCGTCCGGACGAACCGCGTGCGACCCCTCTTCGAACATTTGCTCTCGCGAATGTTTGCCAAAAGCTTGGCAAATACGACCGTTACTTTCCCGCGGTTACCTCCGCATCAACAATTCACATGGTTCTAAAGGTGAACCTAAGAATCTAAGTCGATCGTTGGATCGATCGATGAAAAGGTAGAGAAAAGGGGAACGAGTAACGACGGTGTAACCACGAGAATGACATTCGAAATATTACGCTGGAAATTGTTTGGAAAACTTTGCAGGATAGAGCAACAAAGGAAAGGAAAGAAAAAAAAAAAAAGAGTATTCCGTGTCGTTTGTTAACTGTAACGTTGAAACGTTGAACGATAAGCAGACGATTAACCGCGATAACGGGACAAATTTGCGAACACGTAAACGCGAAAAATATTCGCCGGGGAGAATTTGTGAGTGCATAGAATGACGCATAAGTATGGAAGGACGTCAATTAGCATCGATAACGAGCGAATAAGTGGCGTCGCCGACTCGGTTTCGTCGAGGGGATAAAGGGTAGTAAAAGCCGGTCGCGATCCCCATCGTGGAAATTCGAGTGAAACCTTGCCACGAGCACGAACCATATGAAGACTCGGACGATCCTGTTGCTCTCGGCGGCCTTCTTCTGCGCGGCCCACCATGCACGCGCGATACCCTGGAACGAAGGTACTTGCATACATATGTACATACGTTCGTTCGTTCGCGAAACAGCGTCTCGCTCTTTAGTTTCTATATCGTATATATCGTATATGTATATCGTACAACGATAAGTTTCAGGGAGGTTCGACTCGAGCAGCGAGCTCGAAGAAACCGCTGCTGCTCCGACCCTCCGTCGTTCTACACGTTCGATCACTACCGATGTGACCAGTCTCGTCGAACAAGTGTTCGGGGATGCCTTTCAAGTTCCGACGGACATTATGCAGAGGATCGTACGCGTCGTTAGAGCGATTATCGACAGGTTGGAGAGGACGTTCGGGACTGGGCTGGAAATCGCACGATCTACGATGGGCAGTTTGGTCTCCGAAGGGGCCAGTCTCGTGAACCCGAGACGTCGACGAGAGACACTGTCGGAATTGGTACCGGACGTGGTGCAATATCCGCTCGATCTTCTACAGAGGTCGGTGGACACAGCTCGGAATTTCGCTACCGATCAAATAGGATCGATAGCGGGTCGAATGGTGAGCGCTGCGTGGAACATCGTGACGACGGTCGTGATTCCCTGGCTACACCGAGCTGCCGAACAACTCGAGAAATCGAACGACTTGCCGGCCACTTTGCGCACCTTGCTCGGAGATTTCGACTATGCGTACACCATTTTCCAGACGCTCGGCTACATCGGTCCGAAGGACAGTTGATGAAAGTCCTCGTCGCACGTAGTATTATACATTCCCACCGAGTTTCCTCCAGTCTGTCTCTCGGACCGGGAGCTTAGTTCTATCTTCCGAAGCAAATAAACGTTCACCTGAACGATCGTTGCATTTTTAATTTGCATTTACCTATCCACCGGTTCGCGTTCCCTATCGTCTTGGTCTACCGTCGGTGTCTTGCGAAAACAGGAGAAATCGTCTCTCCGTTTCACCCGGAGAGATGCGGGTGAGAAAATCGCATGCGGGACTCTTGGCCAAGAAATTCTCATCCGCAGGTCTGTCCGCTTTCGTCGCAACGGCATTTGCCAGAGACGAGGCACGGAACGAACGCGTTGAATCGTTCGTTACGTAAATCCAAGGACGCTTCTAATCGAACGGTGCAGCGACGCTCGCGTTCGCAAAATTCCTTCTTCGAGTAAAACAGAGACAGCAAATCATCGGGCTGGCCGTGGCAAACCGCGCCGCGCCGCGCCGCGCCGCGCCGGTGTGACGCGTCACAGGTTTGCGAGCACAGGCCAAGCCTTTGTCGCCGATGACCGTAAGCGTCCGTGAACGGGCCCGCTCGAGCGTGGTCCTCTGTGCACCTCTTCGAACACGCGAGATTTCCGCAATTCACGCGCAATTCACGCGTTACACCACACCGTACCGTACCGCGATTATTCGTGGACCAGCCCGTGCCCCTGCCCGCTTCACCGCCATCATTCCACCTTTTTCTCCTCCTATTTTTCCGCCGCTATAGACGTCAACGCCAGTTGCTCGTCAAATTCCAATTCGTTCGTACGTTTTTCTCGCTTTTCCCTCTTCGTCGCTTTTCGCCTTCGTCGCCAATTTTCTACAATTACTAATATTCGACCAGTTCGAGAGGCAACGCTCGCGAAAATCCTTGACACGGTAACGAGGCGCGCGCCATCGCGAGCGGGGCCAGCTTCGAACATGTCGCCGCTGATCGTTCGCGTGTTCGCCGGGATCGCGATATGCGGACTTGTCGCGAAAACAGGTAAGGAATGGTGCAGGAGCGGACGCAGTTCTGCAGTTGTAGACGAGCGTTGTTTCGGTTGCAGAGGAACGCCGCTGTTCGTACATCACTTGGGAGAAAATCAACGGCGTCAAGCCTGAATCCGTCGATTCGCAAATCCTCCTCTTCAGCGGTGTGAATTCCAACGGAATAACCAAGCCCTGCTTCGAGAGGTACGTGTGTAGAACATACGTACGAACGCGGAGTGATCGCGAAAAAGAGTGGCGGAGCTATTTGAAATTTCAGATGCGAGCGCGCAAACTGCACCGCGTTCGTGGTAGATTTCGGGAGGAGCGTCTGTTACAGCGTGCGGGTGCCCGAAGCAAACTCGACCTTCTATCACCGAGTCTGCGTGAAAGGTAAGAGGAGGAGCGATCCGACAATCGGAAACGAATCAACGAGCTTTGCTTCCGGCTAGTTCCGGTGAGGTGCGCGCGAGAGAGGTTTTGGCAGGTGGAGAGAAACCCGGGAGCGGTGTTCATCGACTTCGCCGCCTTCCACTTGTCCAACCCCATCACCAGGAACCAATGTTACGAGAAATGCGTCGACACAGGTAAGCTTGCGAGAAAGAAAGGGGGAGAGAATAGCAGGTATATATCTATCGATGTCGCAGGACGTAGCTGCGAGTCAGCGCAATTCCGAACAACCAGACCTCTTTCTTCCGACGACACGGTTGGACGATGTTCTTTGTCCCTTTACGAGCGGGGAACAAGACCTCGAGCGTACAGGGCGTCCATGTACAGGGACGAATACCTTCAAGATCAGTGCCGAAACTTGCGTAAGTGAGTCGAAACGAGGCGAAACGAGGCGAAACGAGGCGGAACGAACTAAGCTCAGATCCTACGAGAATTCGCGTTTCAGCCAAGAGAGAGTACTGTTCCTACGCGGAATTTCGAAACTTCTCCTTGCCGTACTCGGACGTCGCTCTGACCGATCTCGACCAGAAACAGGTAATCCGTCTTTTCTTATTTCGATCTTTCTCGTTCGACGATCGACGATCGATTCGCGATTCAGTGCGAGAGGAGATGCGATCTGAGCGTGGACGGGTTCGTCTGCCGAGGATACACGCTGGACAATTCGTCCGGCGAGCTGGTGTGCTTGTTGCACTCGGAAGACACCAACAGTCTCGGAGTTAGCTCGCTGATCGACATGCCGCACGCCATCTACAGGGAACGAGAGCCTTGCTTGGATCGTAAGTGGAACCGTACGTTCGCCGAACCTTCTCTACCTCTTCTTCTTCTTTCTCCCGATCAGTCAAGGTACGATGCAACGAATCCGCGATGACGATCGAACTGCGGACCAGCGAGGCCTTCGTCGGTCGGATCTACGCGAACGGCCATGCCGATAGCTGCGGCGTTCAGGGTATCGGGAGAAATCGAACGGTGTTGACGCTGCCGGTACCAACACCGGACAAAGTTCGCGATTCGCAGCTACGCTGCGGCCTCAATCCCGCCTTCTCTATCGACGATCGTAATCGGTGAGAGAAAGAGGTAGTACCGTATACGGTAACCCTCGAACAAACAGAATCTGACGGTGATCTGTCGGTGATCTGACGGCAGGACGAAGCCATTGGTCTGGGCGACGATCGTCGTGCAATTCAATCCGATCGTCCAGAGGCTCGGCGACCAAGCCGTCAGAGTTGGATGCTCGTTGAACGATCGGGAACCACCGCAGCCGAGAAACGTCACCGTTCATTCCACTTTCACCTTTCTCGATCCAAAGTGAGAAAGAAATGCCCGTTGTCGCCTCCGAACCACCTGCAAATATCCCCTCTCTATTTCATCTGTCTGTAGCGCAGGAGTGCCGCCGATCTCTTCCACGATCGTCAACGCGTCCTCGCACGCACCTATGCTCACAATGAGGATCTTGGACGAGAACTCGAGGGACGCGGTCGTCACACATTTAGGACAGAAATTAACCTTGAAGATTCAACTGAATCCACCTGACGGTAATGAACGTTGCGCCCCCCCCCCCCCCCTCTTTCC